ATAGGAAACATCTTTTACCCTGCTAACATTTTTTAGCAGCTACACCATTCAGATCCACATATTATGGAAAGATATTTTCTATGTAAATATCCATAGAATTAGGTTAAACAATGGACAGCCTACAACTATATCATCTTATATTGCTAAAGGAAGTTAATCTCTCTATATTATACACACATATAAATATGTACTATGTAAAGTATATACGTATAGTATATATATAGTATATATAGCAAATGTTATATGTGTTTTTGTACATATTTCTATAGAGACAGAAAAAAATTGGTTTTTATTGCTGAAATCTACATATTCTCTGAATTAAATTAACATACGTATATAAAGATCTGTGGAGAGAAACTTAGTGGGTTTTAGTGCTTTCAGTAAGTTGTAATTGACGTGGCTGATTTTGACCTTTTAGTACTTCCTGCGTTTAAGTTGTGGACAAACATTTTGCTACCTCTTGAAAGAACAGCTACAGTTCCTTTCCCACTGTGTCTCATCAGGGAGAAATCTGACTGCCATGATTGAGCGTTAAACAGAGAGAAAACTGCCAAAGCGTGTTCTGTTTACAAACAGCTTGCTCGTTGAAGAAGTCATTTTGTAAAACTGAAATGAACTGGAGGTGCCAGATGAGAACCATCAGCCCGTCTCAGAGGACACACACACTCACACACTCTCACACACACATACACACACACACACACACACACACACTCACACACTGGTAAATCCCTGTGTTTGCACCACTGGGAGCCCTTTGCCATGGGATTCACATAGCTCCCAATTTTGAGCAAATTGCAGTTCTTTACTTGTGTTTGCCAGGCTGGGGTGGGAACTCGGGGGCCTGGCACTTGCTGAGCCTTGGGGTCCGGCTCAACGAGCCCCCTTGCCTCTCCACCGCGCCGTCGCGTGTCTCCGGTGACCCTTCCTTCCTTCCCTCCCGGCGCCCACGGGGGACCAGTCTGGACCCGCGGTGGACAGGTTGTTTCCCTCTTTCCACAGCCTCTCCGCACACCACAGGGAGTGTGCTTTCCTAAAGCACATCATAACCTATTCAAATATTTTTTAATATTTTATTATCTTTAAGGAATGGTGCAAAGAAGTTGTCACCCAACAAATAAAAGCACTTTGATAGAGTCTTTCCACGTAGCTTGGGTGAGCTATATAACCCTACATTCTCAATCTCCAGAGCACTGGGATTAAAAGCATGTGTCACCACACTAGACCTCAATGAAAGTTTAAGGCTATAATACATAATATAGATACAGGTACAGATATAGATGGTCCTGGGGCTTGAACTCAGGGCCTAGATGCTGTCCCTGAGCTTCTTTTGCTCAAGGCTAGCGCTCTACCACGTGAGCCACAGCATCACTTCCAGCTTTTTCTGAGCAGTCTTATTAGAGATAAAGAGTCTCATGACCTTTTCTGTCTGGGCTGGCTTCGAACCACGATCCTCAGATCTCAGACTCCTGAGTAGCTAGGATTGTAGGTCTGAGCCACCAGAACCCAGCAAAGCAGTATTTTTCATTCTTTGATACAAGAATAAAATGTGTGACATATTAATACAACCAACAGTTCCCCTCCCCCGGAAGGCAAGTATACATTTACCAGGGATCTCCTCACTGCTGGAATGGAAGGTACACGTGGACCGGGAGGCTTTCTTCTGGAGGTTAATGGGCTATTTTTCACGGGAAGTTAATTTCTGGTTCCCTGACATCATTCCACTGTGTGGGGTTTCTAGGTGAGAGAAATTCTCAGTGCCACTCCAGAAAGACCGAACGATGGAGACTCCGCAGGCAGGAGGCGTGTGTATTTTATCATGCCCTTTGAACTTGTTTGAAATACTAATCACGTTGAAATGCGACCCCCATGGAGAAAACTGTTGCTAGGCTGACATTTGCTATGTATTGCAAGGCTTTCTTTCCTGGCACACGCTTTGGGGATGGGTGATCTTCGTTTACATAAACGAGTACAATCCCTCTCCATGAATGCTTCAGGGTGTGTTTACATCCCTATAATGACTTCCATGTTCTAAGTGAGCTCAACTGAGCTTACTGGTGGAGCTCAGAACAACACTGTGACAGTTTTGTTTTGTTTCTAATCATGCAATGGAGAAAAGGGAGAAAAGAACTCAGATTGTTTCTCTACTGTGCCAAACCATATGAGCCAAGTTGAAGGACACGCAAACACAGAGGACAAGGAAGTCTGGGGTCCCGGCTGATGTGCCAGCAAAAGCTGGTCCAGACCCTGCCTGTCACTCACCAGATGGCTTTCGGTTACCAGTCCTCTTCTTCACCTATAAAATGAAGGCAAGAAGCTGTGCAGCCTGGAATCTATCTTGAGGAAACAAATACAGGTAAAATAATTAAAGTATTCTATGCCAAGCAATGCTATGTCTACTATCATGTTTATATGGTGATAGAGGACAGCTATTTCTGCCTCTTTGTTTCACAGTTAATTTTGTTATTTTTGTACCAGTACCGAGGCTTGAACTCAGGACTTCACACTCTTTTCTTACCTTTTCATGCTCAAGACTGGCACTCTACCATTTGAAGTCTACCTCTACTACTTCTAGCTTCTTGCCAGTTAACTGGTGATACGAGGCTCATAGACTCTTCTTTCAGAACTGGCTTTGAACTGTGATCCTCAGATCTCAGCCTCCTGAATAGCTAGGGTTTTAGATATGAGCCACCCGTGATAAGCTTAGAGATTATTTTTTAAGTTTTTATTTGTATACTCACCTAATTTCAATCAACCTTTACATCTCGGGGAGTTTCTCCTAGTAGGAAGAATATTATATCTTGAGATATTGGATGAAAAAGTTTTGGCCAAAGTTAAATATCAAACTTAATTCCACAAATGCCAATGAAATGGAGCTGGTAGGTGCTATTTAGCTAGGGTTAGAAGGTATTGTTAGTTTATTGTTAGTTAGAAGGTATTTTAGTTTATGCCCCCAAATGTTGAACGAGCAATACCTAGACTAAAATATTGTCCCTTGTTATTTTGAATTCAAATCTACCTGTGATACCTTGTATTTTATCTGATAACCAAATTTCACCCTGTCATGGTGAAAACAACCATGAGCAACTCTTAACTGCCTTACAAATATTGCTCAAAACTTAGTAGGCATTTTGAATTGTGAGAAGGAATAAAACGAAAAGAGGTTTACAGGAAGAGAAAAAAGACTCAGTGGAAGAAAGTCTCATTTAAAACAGGAAATCAAACAGCCCAATTTTGAATGTGTCTCTTTGAAGAAACTGCAGATCGTTCCAGATATGAAATTTGTCCAAAAGAATGAAAGCCTGCCTGACCTCACCTGTGAGAGTGAACAGACATTCATTTCCTCTGAACTTGTGCACTGCAAGGTCTTCATATCAAGAATATGTTCCAGTTAGTGGGGGACAGTTATCAGCTCCTTCCTTTTGGTCTGTGGAGTTCAGTGTGGACATGTTTTAACAAATCACCAGTGTAAATTTAAAAAAAAGGCACATGCTACTTCATTGTAAGAAATCTGAAACTTTATTGTTGACATTTTTAAGGGAAAAAAAGCAAAACATGGATAGGAAGAAAGTATTAAAATTCTGACTGGAAGTTTGCAGTTTTAAAATGATCAATAAGGAGACAATTTTTGGTTAGTGACTTCACATAGATTACCCTTTGCATGGAAATATTAAAATGCCTAGCTCTTCTGAAAATATTTGTCACAGAAGTACAACGTTATGGTTTGTTTGAGTGTTTTATACTGATATCATTAGGGCTTGAACTCAGGAACTGAGCTCTGTCCCTTAGCTTTTTCACTCATGGCTGGTCCTCTACTACTTAAACCACAGCTCGACTTCCATCTTCTTGCTTGTTCATGAGAGGTAAGAGTCTTAGAAAAGTTCCTGCCTGGGCTGGCTTTGAACTGCAATCCTCAGATTTCAGCATCCTGAGTAGCTAGGATTACAGGCTTGAGCCACCAGCACTTGGCTTACACAAAATTACTGAGACCTGAATTTCAAGATGACTAAATGTGTCTCATACTAAAGCAAAAGCATAATCTTTTTTGGGGGCCAATGACTATAAAGATAGGTTCATAATTCCATAATTCCATACTCTGGAGCCTGGCCTGCCTGTCTGGGTGATTTAGCTTCTCCTCTATCAATGGGTTTCTGAGCTACTACTTACTTGCCTCCTTTCCATGTGTTCCCATTTGCAAAAGAAGAAAGAAAAAAAAAACATGTTTCTACCTTGCTACCAAAATTAATAAAAATTACCATGCCATTCTATGCTGTTTTGTATCTTCCAAAGAAAAATCTCAAGCAGAAAACACACATTTCAAACACAAAATTTCTGCATCTGGAGATATTCCTCCCAGCTGAAACCCCTGGAGAAAATTTTTCCTTCAAGGTCATTTAAAATCTACAAGTTTTGCTGTTTGTGTTTTGAAGCAACTTCACAGCTAAAAATAGATGCCTATCACAGCATTCACCTGGTTCTAATGAGAATCAGAATTTTAACACTTTAACTATGTTGTCTAATAAACGGAGACTACCCAGTTTTATTAGGAGAAAACAAGATGGTAAAGTCTGAGTGACCAGCGAGAGCCATAATAGCCAACTTTATTAACTTTATTTCTTTCTGATGCCCATATATGGCGACTTTCAGGCCTCTGTCTTCACTAGTGAGTACAAAGGAAGGCTAATTAACCTTTATGTGTGTGTGTGTGTGTGTGTGTGTGTGTGTGTGTGTGTGTGTGTGTGTGTGTATATAAGAAATTGTTGTTTCTTTGTTAAGTTCCACTTTTCTTCATCTGGGAAATGGCAAAGGACTATAGAGTATCCTAAAGATTAATCTATCATTTTAAAGTGCCATGACAGTAATTAGAATAACACAAAATGAGTTGTGTAGACAGTAATTAATGATGAATAGTAAAAATCCTTTAAAACCAGAGACTAAAGATACAGAAAACCAACCAACCAAAGAGTGCCGTGTGAAAAATGTCATAGACAGAAGCAAAGTTCACAAAAGAAGTTGTTTTTATTACATCTTGGAAAAAATGTCACTCTTCTTGAGGTTTTTAGATCCCAGACCCTACATTATTAGAGCATCTTAAAAAAAAAACAGGATCCACAAAAATGTCTGAAAACAGTCTTTTTGCATTAAGCCTTTTTCAATAGCTACATCCACTTTTTATATGTGAACACAGAACACACTTAACATACTACAAACAAGAAAAGAAACCAATGAATTTTATGATGGCTCTCAGTACTAATTCCTAAACAGGTAAGAAATTCAAAATGAATTTGTATTAATGAAGATTGCTGGCCTACTTGCCAAAAGGGATTATGCATACTCAATGTTGTTTTTCACATGTCAGTGCTGAATTTCATAAAATTCAGCTGTATTATGTTTCATATCTTATGCATCATGTTTCATATATAAATATTTGGCACAAATATATTTGCAAGTTCCTATTTTTATCATAGAGGTTTCAATATCTATTGCATTTGTTTATTTCAAAGATATTTAAGTTCACTTGTAACAAAAAATATTCGGTCAAGAATATTGAGCAGTAAGTATCACAAAACTTACAGAAAATACTGTGTGGCAGAGTTATAAAGCCCTGTGGTTAGGAAGGTAGGCTCTCTCAGAATCTTTAAATTAAATATGCTTAAAAAGATATTGAACTAAATTTTAACACACTGGAGGATAAGATTTGCTAATGTTATTTTAATGAATTTTCTTGTAGTAGCTAACCATACACAATCTACTCGTAGGAACTCTCTCTGGAAGTAAGAGCAAACTGTAAGAAATCCACAAGTTGAACAAGGAACACATCTTGAGGTCCTCCTAGAAAGTCCGTGTTTTTAGTCTTTCATAGTCACGCAATGAGGATTTGAAATGAGACCATTCAAGCTAACAGCTCCAATATGAAATACATGTTTTCTTCAGAAAGGCAAAAAGACAACTTCTCAAAAGCATCCGGACTCAGTTGCAAGCGCTCTCGCTCTTCTCTCTCTCTGTCTCTCAGTCTCTCTGTTTGTCACCCACGTGCAAACAGAAACATTGACACACAAAGACCACAACAATGTTTTTGCTGGGGAAAAAAAGTTTAAAAATAAGCATAATACTGTACAAAACATTTTAGCCAAAGCAACTTAAATACTTTTCTTTAAACCACAGTAGTAAAAAAAAAAAAAAAAAAAAAGGAAAGAAAAGCAGAAATAACAGCTAATCTGAGATGTAGAGGTGCCCAGGTTCGTCTTTTCCTATGAACTTGGAGTTAAAGCTGGACCCGAGGGCCCATTGGCAGAACATTCTGGGCCTGGGGAGCCACCTGTGGCTTCAGAGCCCTCCTGGTCTGTGTCGGGGGTCTTATCTGGGGTGTCAGGTGGATGGACACAATTGGCATCGTTCTTTGCTTTGTCCACTTCATTATCAAATTCAACCCGATCCTCATGCATGCTGGCTTTTTTGATTTGTCCATTCCGGGCAGGGTAGTAGCTGGCCATGGTGTCGTAGAGGAACTGGTACTGTGCCTAGCAAAGCGAAGTGACAGGAAATTACATGAAGGAGGTTGATGCTGTTTTATGTGCAATGGAAAAAGTAGCAAGAATAACCATGTACTTGTGGCAGCCTGGAGGGATGGAGGGTTCTTCAGCTTGTTCTCATAAAAAGCAATCTAAATAACTTTGTTTTCAGTGCTAACGTGGACCTTCGGGCCACTTCAAACAGGGGTTCTCTCCTCCAGCCCAGCCTTGGAACATCTCAGCACCGGGCCTTGGCTCACAGAGCCAGTTTTGTGCTTCTCCTCTTAGCTAAAGTTGATCCATGATTGAAGAGCCAGAGCAAGAAGGACCTGTGCCGCAAGCCCGCCCAGATCTGCACAGGTTACGGGGAAAAGGCCTCGTCTCTGAGCTTCTAGTTGCCCTGACATTTTAATGAATACAGAAGCTCCAATACGGAACAGCTCCACAAGGCTAAAAGTACACAGAGGGGGTCACAATTGGTCTGTGCGCACTCCCTTCCTACCACGCTGAAAGTCTCAGGGACTTCAGGGCGTGAACGATGCTCATCTTGTGAATAATTACTGATTCCCAGGTGACCTGCAGCCCACTCACCCGTGCTACCATAGCTCAGCCTCAGCCAGCGTCCAGCCCGCGCCCGCGGAGGGGCTTTTAGACCAGCCCGAGTCAGCACACACATGAGCTTATGACAGGCTCATGCATGAGCCTGGCTTCACTAGCTGAGCTGGAAAACATCACCAGAACATTCCAGCAGGTCCACACACTAGTCCTGAACTACAACTAATGTCCTTAAAGCCCTTAAATTTGGGGACGCTCTGTTATTTGACAAGACGAATTGGTTGAACTCAAAAGGGAAATGAAGCAATTCCTTCTCAGTTAGAAAAGTATCCTTCATGAACTGTCACAGCAAAACCTGCTGGCAAACACCAATCTCATTTATATCGATAACATTTCAATGAGAAAAAGGGAAGGGAGGGAAGGGGAGGGGAAGAGGGGGAAATGATCCAGTAACAATGCAAAGCGCATTGGAGTAAACGCGAGGTATACTTACAAACGTGGCAACCACCCCTGGCCTGGCTTTACGCAGAGACTTTACCACTTGGAAAACATCTACGACCTCTTCTGTCTCCGCGCTTTCCAAGAGATTGATCAAAGCACAGAACACTCCTGTGTGCTCAGCCCCATCCCTAGCCAAGGAGCAGAAGATGAAGAGGAGTGGTGATATTGGCAGAGAAACACAGGAACAGCATACATTTTTGTTTACTTCATGATTATTATAATCATCTTTTTCTATTTTCTTAAGTGCTAATTTCTTTCAGCTGAATGCATTCTGGGGCAAACGATCTCAATTTATGACTATGATAATTCTATAGTTTAAAAATATTTGGCTTTGGCATTGTTTACCATAGCTAAGATATGGAATCACCCCAAACGCCCCTCCGTGGATGAACGGATCAAGAAAATGTGATAAGATAGAGATACAGATAGATAGATAGATAGATAGATAGATAGATAGATAGATAGATAGATAGATAGAAAATGGGATTTTATGCTTCCATCAGAAAGAATGTCATTGTCCCATTCGTAAGGAAATGGAAAGACTTGGAAAAATATTAAGTGAAGTAAGCCAGACCCAAAGAAACACAAGCTCCATAGTTTCCCTCATTTGTAATACCTAGAATATGTCTAGAATATTATTAAGTGAGGATCACAATGGCTCAATAGCTATGTGCATATGTCCATAAAATGATGTTTATTGAAACAAACTCCAAGAAATGGAAATGAGGGCTTTTGTTTTTTTAGTGTTTGCAGTTATTTCTTTTTTCTTTCTTATTTCTCCCTTTGTTTTATTCGTCGTGTCATTGTTTTTTATTTCTGTGCCCTCTGTCTTATATATGTTTACCTGATTTGGGGAAGGGAAGGGGGAATCACAGAAACTGTGGGACAAAGGGTGAAAAAATTCAACAGTATGCAATGTATATGTGTAATATTAAATGTAATATATGTGTAATTATATTCATTTACGTATATGCCTATTGTACTGTATGAAGTCTCTGATATTAAATAATGTTAAATTCAAATAAAAGCATTACCCCATCAAAAAAAATTCAACAGTGATATACACTAGACACTGTTAGAACTTGGCAGGGGAGGGAGTCAGGGTGGGGGGAAGTGGAGGAAAATGAGGGAGGGAGCAACACTGTACAGAAAGAAATGCACTTATCATCTGACTTATGTAACCCCTCTGTACATCAATTTAATTTAAATTTACAATACAATTTAAAATTAAAAATGTGGCTTAGGCCTTAAAGATCTACTTTCTCCTCTTTAGTACTTTGTGGTTGCAAATGTATTTTTATTTAAATCTACATTGTTAGGACCAGTTTTTAATTTTATATATTTTTTATTGTAAAGATACTGTACAGAGGGGTCACATTTACATGAGCAAGGTCATGAATCCATTTCCTGTCAAGCATTGTTACCCTTCCTTTGTAACTTTTCCCTACCATCTCTTCCCTCCGTGCCTCCCCAACTCCTTCCCCACCCCAAAGTTGTAAAGTTCATTTTCAACATAATGTCTTGTATATCTCATTGTTACAATGGGTAGGACCAGTTTTAATGGATGAGAAAATTGAGATTTAGAGACAATAAGGGCGCAGCTAGAAACTGATAAACATTGAAATAATGTAGTCCCTTTCTCCCTTCTACCTTCTCCAAACAGAGAAGAAAGAACAATTCACAACCAAATGGATTTCCCAAACTATGAGGCTTTAAAACATCTTAACACAGCTTGCCCTGAAGAGCATATTGTCAGCAGGGCCATAAATGCCCATCTATCACTAAGGCAGACCTGGAAGGAAGAGGTCATCATAACCTGAAGAACATGCAAACCGAAATCTGCCTTCTCTCCTCTCCTTCCAACACAAATTTCACTTTTGAAAATTCAAATTATCTACTGCAGGTAATACATTTCTGAAGGCTTGACTCTAGTATATGAAATTCCAATAATAAGTTTCTGCAAACATTCTAAAAGCACCTTACAAAGTTCATAGTTCACTTTTAGATTATTTAAATTCTTCCTTAATATTCTTATTTTATGTGAACTTTCTATACTGTGAAGCTTTTGCTCAATTTCTCTTCATTAAGGTAGATATGCAGGTATCTACCACAAACAAAATTTAAATGTCTGCCTATTGGAAAAAATTTAAATATCAAATATTATCACTGGTGTGGCTAAAATCTTTGCCTTTGAAATCAGTTTAGAAAAATAATACAATGGGTTTAAAACAAAACTGTTCAGCCCAGAGATTTCAGTTAAAATTTAAATTAATTCAATTAATATGAAATTCACGTTCAGCCAGGCACTGGTGGCTCACACCTGTTATCCTACCTACTGAGGAGGCTGAGATCTGAGGAGAGTGGTTCAAAGCCAGCCCAGGCAGAAAAGTCTGTGAGACACACATCTCCAGTTAACCACTAAAACTCCAGAAGTAGAGCTGTGGCTCAAAAGGCTGAACACCAGCCTTGATGCTCAGGGACAAACTAGGTCCTGAGTTCAAAGCCCAGGACCAGCACAACATAAATTAATTAAGATGTGTACTGGAGTCAAAGCATGCAGTCATATGGATTCTATAACTTCCAGGTGAGAGGTCATTCCACCTAAGAAAATATGTAAATGCAAACCATCCATCTATCCATTCATGCACCTTTCTGTCCATTCATCTGTGTGTTGCTCACACATAGCAATCTGAGTTCACTATGAGGGAATGAAGCCCTGGAGGTAGCATGAAATTTAGTACGAAAGGAATCACAGCCTTAACTTACGGAACTATAGCAGCCATGCTATGTAGAGAAAACCCAGGTGAGTGGGGAACCCTCTCCAAGGCCGTCCCAGTGGAGATACGGATAGAATTTAAGAGAGAATGGGAGCCCAGAGGCCAAGGGCTTCCCATCCCATCTCACCCACCTGCAATGGACTAGGATAGGCACGCTCTTGTGATACTTAGTCCCTTCGGAAGAATTCCTCCTGGGGAGCTTCTGTTTGAGGCTCTGAATCATGGAGACGAGTTCTTTGGGTTCTGCTGGAAGCTGTTCCCCCTTCCAGGCTGTGTACTGGTACTGGTACACGGTTCGAGGGTCTTTCCTCTGAAACCAGAATGGAAGGAGCGCAGCTCAGTACCAGGCCATGACGGGCTCTAGAAGCACATTCTTATCAGGACCGCATTCATTTACACAGTGGAAAATTCCATTCCGAGCCTTCCCGCAGGTGGTATCTTTGATTGCATAACATAATCGATACTACTTTTGCCATCAAGATAATTACATTTGAAAAAAAAAACAATGCCTTCAAAATAATGTATTACCTTGGGATGTCTCAGTTCGAATACTCGGAGAGTGTAACCTGTGGACTGGCTTGTGTCTTTCGTGTCAACTTCTAAATCTCCGTAGGTTTGCTTGCCTTCCCCCCAGTACTGGGCACACATTTCCTAGATAAGGAGACACGGTTAACAGGGTTTAACTGATTCTATCCTGTGCACTTGCTATTTAAAGTATTCAAGGAATCTTCCTCCTCTCTTCCTCTCTCTTCTCTCTCCCTCAATCACCCTCTTTCTCAAACCTCCCTGTTCTTGCCTTCCTCATTTTCTATTAAGTGGAAAATAATCCATTATGTGTTAAAATTGAATATTGCCCATAAAAATCTGAATTTTATTTTAAATATGATGATGATCTTTCTAACAAATATGTCTCTCCTCTTGCAAGGAAAGAAACCTTGGGATAATCGAGGTGGCTAGGACTCGCTGTCTTCCTGGTGAGGTCCTCTGAGATTTGAGATTTGTTCCTCCCTTCCACACCCTGATCATTTCTTCAAAATCTGTACATTAATCTGACATGGGTCACGACTCTTCAATGGCTCACCCCCCCCGCCCCCCGACTCCTGTTTCTCCACTGGTCTTGGTGAAGGAGGTTTTCCTCCCAGAATCTTAATGAGCAACTCCAGGAAGAGATAAATGGGTGGCATATCTAAGCCGGGGGAGACCCGAGAGTGTGTGTGAGTTACAAGAAGGTTCCCTCCTCCTTTTTGCTGCTTCCCACCAACTTCAACCCCAACACTGTCAACTGTGATGGCAGCCTTGGTCTGTACTCTCATTCATTTCTTCACTTTCCATGCTAGAAATCAGAACATATATTCTTTTTTAAAAAAATGAATCAGCTGGGTGTTGTGGCTTATGACTATAAGCCAAGCTATTCTGGAGGTGGAAATCAGAAGGATTTCAGTTTGAGGCCAGCCAGGGCAAAAAGTTAGTAAGACTTCATCTCAACAAATAAGATGAGTGTTGTGGTTCACAGCTGCTATTCCTGCTACAGAGGAAAAATGTAAGTAGGAGGATCATAGTCCTTATTCTGAGAAAAACAGAAACTACAACAACAGCAAAAGGTGTAAGCGAAAGAGACATGGCTCAAGAGAGAGAATATTTGACCAGAAAGTATAATTCAAATCCCTGTAATTCCCAAGAGTGAGCGGGAGTGAGAGTGAGCAAAACAGAGAGAGTGTAGATATGTCGAGAGAGAGAGAGAGATAAGCCAGGCACCCATGGCTCACGCCGGTCATCCCAGCTACTCAAGAGGCTGAGATCTGAGGATCAGGGTTCAAAGCCAGCCTGGGTAGCAAAGTCCGTAAGAGTCTTATCTTCCATCATTCAACAGAGAATGGGAAGTGGTGCTGTGGCTCCAAGTGGGAGAACACTAGCTTTGAGCACACAAAGCTCAGGATGGCGCCCAGTCCCTGAGCTCAAGCCCCACAACCAACAACAACAACGACAAACAAATGTTAGTAAATGAAGGCTGACTCATGATAATGTGAGTGTCAGACAGGATGGAGAACGTGTTATAAACCCTGCAAGCAGGGGGGAAATGGAAGGATACGCCAAAGCCTCCCTTTGGCTGCTGTCTGAATGCCAGAAAAGGAGTTAGTTCAGTTTTATTATCTCAATAGAAAAAGGAGCTACACTGGAGCAGTTTGTCGGGGCAGCAGACGCTGTGTCATAGACAATCGTGAGCAGCGGGCAAGACTGCAGTGGTGACCAGGAGAGCCCCAGCGCCAGGTGGAAGAAGAGGCCCCAGCCCCCCGATGACCCCAGTCATCTTAAACCAGCGGAAGGAGGAAACAGAGAGGTCAAAGAGACACGCTGTTCTCATCATGCAGGCAGTCCAAGAATGGAGAATGACATTTTATAACAGACAGGCTTTATTATGTTTTTTTTTAAAGAAAAGATTCTCAAAAGCACCAACCTGGTCTCCATTCTTTAGTTCTGTCAGCATCACAATAACCTTGACTTTTCTTTGGAAGATCATCTGCCAGAAGTCACCCGTGGTCTCTTTCAAGGGTCCTTGGGCGGCGATCATCATTTCTGGCTTCCAGTAACTCTTTAAAAAGCAAAGGTAGGATATTGTTATTGTTCCCATCTGAAGAGAGCAGAGGACTTTTATTGGCCATTTAGAAAAATGGTTTCTTACCTTGACACCAATGCTGTTACAGATATTAAAAACCTACGATGATTCTCAGGTCCAAGGAAAATATGACAGCTGTAGGCAAACTAGTCTGATAATAACTTGTAGCTAATAATGTAAAATCAAGACTAAAACATATGGTATTCTCTTGCAAAACAAGTTTTTCTTCCCAAAAGTCACATTTTCCCTCTATTCAAAGGTTACTGCAATAGCATAAAAGCATTTACATAAGTATTTGAAATCATCTTCACCATTTCCCTCTTTTGATTGGTACTGTACATTCTTATGATGTAGTCAAGTTCAATTAATATTTAGTGAATGTGTTTTAGGAAAATTTGGAAGAGAAACAATCCAATACAGGGTATATGCAATAAGTATTACTGATTGCCAAAAATTCCTCAATTGGAAATCGCAACTGAGACTTGTTTATAATATGTGTGACATAGTCAAAACATCCCAGTTAGTCAGAACAAAACACTTTTAACTATGCAGATATATGAATGTGGATTTCCTTCTAATTTGGATATCTGAATAAGAATAAAATGTCTACATTCTGGCATGTGTTTACATTTTACTTATTAAATGAATATGGTAATAGCCCTATTTTGTTATAAAATACAGCTAACAGTATTCTGTTACTTTTCAATCAACCCATTAGGCTTTGTTTATTAAATTAAAATATATAGGCTGGGCACCAGTGGCTCACACCTGCAATTCTAATTACACAGGAGACTGAGATCTGAGAATCATGATTCAAATCCAGCCCAGGCAGCAAAGTTCATGAGACTCTTACCTCCAACTAACTACCAAATCAAGCAGGAAGTGGGGCTGTGGCTCAAATGGTAGAATGCTAGCTTTGAGCCAAAAACAAAAAGCAAAAGCTGAAGGATATCATCCAGGCCCTGAGTTCAAGCCCCAGGACTGGTACACACATACTCAAAAAGAAAATGCATCATAAAAAGTTGAACGTGTGTGTAAATCAATATGTAGGGATAACTAAGCTCGTGATTCTTGTATGAAATTGTTGGATGTTATATGTTATGACATAGATACATTCCATCATAGCCCAACACAGATATGAGTTGCAAAGGTTGGGAAATCAGGTTTGGGACACGGAAACACACACCATCACAAAAGATGCATTGATGTACTTGCTCGATTCTTCCGCGTCACTGTCTTCATCTGACGAGTCGTCGGAGGCTGGCTCGCTCTCCTTGCTCACCTCCAGGTCGTGTTTAAGCTGCACTCTGTTAAAGTCATCTGCGTAAAATAAACCAGTGGTGAGACATCAAGGCAGGGGATCTATGTCTATGGCAGATCAAGCTCTTAATTCAAGTCCCTGGTTTCAATCTCCAGTACCACTAACAAAATAAAAATCATCAAATTAGTGACATGTGGAAATGAACAACTTATGGAGAGGTAAATGCATTCATCAAAATGCAATAAGATTCTACATGAAATTAAGCATTGATTAAGAAATTCAAAATGTAAAAGATACTGTTCTATTTTCTACACATATGTTTTAGGTTTCTAAGGAATAAATATCATCATTCTCCCTGAGGTGCATTACAAAAATACATCACTTAGATTTTTTTCTCTCCATTATATTCTATGAACAGTAAATTAAAAGTCTTCTTTAAGTATGTATGTCAGGTTCATTATTTTAAGTCCAAAAATCACTTAGTCCTAAGTTTGTCTCCTTTTTCCCCAATAAGGGGAGGGGAGGGATTTGGAGGGATGGGGGGATGAAGGAAGAGATAACTCTAATTAGGATTCAGACCTATGTACAACTATGTAAAGATAATGATAAAAATATTTTACATTTATAATAACCTGGTCAATCTGGTTAACTATATTATGATCAATCCCATATTTTCACTATATTGATAAGGGGTTCTGTGGAAGTTAACTATGTCAGCCATGCTTTCATGTGATTTATTTGCTTGTCTAGTTTATCAGTTTGGCTTATATGTTGTCCATGTTAATTCTGTACTCTGTTTAATAAAACTGAAAACTAGGAACCAGGTTCAAATGATTTGCTAAAATTAAAAGTTCACAGCCTATTAACAATGAATCAAGATCACTTTATTCTTAGAAAAGGATCACATAGGCACAATAGCTTTGTGCAGCTGACCATATAAAATAGATTGAATATGAGTATCAAAATGAACTCCAGTGCAAGAGGTGTTTTCTTTTTCTTTGGTGCTGGTTTTTTTTTAAATTTCCTTTTGTCTTGTTTGTTCATTTATCTGTCTTTGGGAAGGTGAAGGGAACACCGAAATGGAGGGACAAAGGGTGAACTGACTATGTTGAAAATGAGCTACACAACTTGTGGGTGGAGACACAGGAGGGAAAAACTGGGGGAAAAATGAGGGAAGGGGTGACATTGTCCAAAAAGAAATGTACTCTTCACCTGCCTGTAACTATAAACCATTCTGTACATAAACTTTACAATAACAATAAAAAGACTACAAAAATCAAGATCACATGTTTGCGTGTCTCAAATTAAAAAGAGGTGGGTGGGACCAAAGGGAAAAGATGAATGTGGGGGAAAGGGGAGAAGGGAGAGAGAATGTAGTCAGGAACTCGTGATAAATTCTACAGAATTAAGAAGAGCAAGGGTAGGAGTGGGTTGAAGGTGAGGACGACGAAGGGGCCGTAGCGGACGCTGCTTGGTAAAATGGCACCTCCTTTGTACAACTACTTAAAGATAATTACAATTAAAATTTTAAAATCCAAATGAACTCATCTTTATAAGGTATAAAAAACATACATGGAATGACATTAGAATTTCTGTTTTTCTTCTTATTTTCCTCTTGATTTCCCATGTGCTGTGTCCTCCAGCTCCTGTAGGAAGGAAGCCTCTGAGAAGGAAACAGAAAGGACAATGCCTTTAAAATCTAGATATCAGCTTAGTTATTGCTGAAGCATGAGACCCTATAGGGGAAAAAAAGGCATTTCATCTTTGTTTTGGACAGTACTGAGCTTTGAGCGCAGAGGCTCGTGCTCACTCTGCTTGCTTGCTAAGCTGGTGGTGTACCAATTGTGCCATGCCCCATTCTGACTGTGTTGTTGATGGTGGTCATGGTGCTTCAACTCAGGGCCTGGCACTATCCCTGTGTTCCTCTGCTCAAGTCAAGTGCTCTACCACTTTGAGCCACAGCTCCTCTTCCAGTTTTCTGGCAGTTAATTGGAGATAAGCATCTCATAGACTTTCCTGCCTGGGCTGGCTTTGATCTTCGATCCTCAGATCTCTGTCTCTAGTATTTCAGGAGTGAGCCATCAGTGCCTGGCTCCATCCTGATTTTTTTAAAATACCTATAGATGAAATGTGGCAGATTTCTCTGCCCTGGCTGGCTTTGAGCTGTTCATCTCTAGATCTCAAGTGGACAACTGAGCAGTTTGAAGAGACGGCTCCACCAGCTTTCTGAAACCATGGGCAATGACATTCTAGATTAGTTGTAAGAATAATTGCCTAATAAATAAGTCAGGACACATATACTTGGCTTTTACTTTCTGTCTACCAGCTCTAGCCAGTTCAACTTCCTAATGAGTCATAAAATCTCTAATTATTTCCTTTGCAAACCAAAACCAGATGCAGTTTTTCAAGATGAGATACAATATTGCCTATGGCAGGCCCATTTTGTGGCTACAAATCAGTTCTTGTTCTGACAGTTTCTTTTGTATCAGGTTAATGAGGAATAGTTGAAGGTGTTTACAGTAGGATCAGACTTCTAGGCTTAAATAAGTCTCCTACATAATAGATGTATAAAGCCAGGCCCTTGTTTTAAATCATCTGAGTCTCGGTATCTTCATTAGGCTCTGTTTTATTATGTTGAGAACCAGGTCAAAGAACTGTGCCAAGTGCCTCACAGAAAGCAGACCACACTCAATAATCTTTATCATTACCTGGAATTCAGCCTCCAGTGGAGATGGCTCACTAGGCGGGTCTCTCTTCTTCATGTTGTGGAGACATGACTGTAATTCAGACAAGTTCACTTCTGTTTCTCCATACTGATTGTACTCCACAAGGGCCTGATGAATCAGGATGTACTGAGCCTTCAATAAGAAGGGAAAAATACAGATCATTGACTGATAGTCCTTTTTAAATAAATAAATATATATATAATTTTATTGTTATTATAAGGTGTATAGAGGGGTTGTCTGGTAATGAGTACATCTGTTTTGGGACAAATGTCACTTCATTCACTTTCCCACAGTTTCCCCTGTCATCCCTATCCACAAGTTGCAGAGTTCATTTTCCACACAGCTTCTGGCAAATACCACGCCTGCATTTGTTCACCCTTCCTCCTTCCATTTCTCTATGGCCCATTGAAAAAAAAACATGAGTCCCTGTAACTTTGCTCCTATTGAAACAATGTATGAAAAAAAACAAAAAGAGGATTGATGTCTACAATGGGATAATGTTCTCGAATGTTCTAGAAGTGTCTTCCATCTCTCTGGAATATGAGAATAGCCCATTTCACTTTTTCCAAATAAAAATAGCTTGCCAAATAGAGTATTCATTACATTTAGCATTTCTTTTTGTTTCGTTTTGTTTTTGGGTCCGGTCGTGGGGCCTGAACTCTGGGCCTGGGTGCTATCCCTCAGCTCTTCAGCTCAAGGCTAGCGCTCTACCACCTGAGCCACAGCACCACTTCCGGCTTTTTTTTCTTTTTGCTTATGTGGTACTGAGGAATTGAACCCAGGGCCTCAGGCATGCAAGGCAAGAGCTCCACCACTGAGCCACCTTCCCAGCCCTCAGCATTTCTTTTATTTGTTTCCTAAACTTAAAAAATAATTCTCATTCACTACATTTTTCAGTGATTGCTACTGCGTTTGAAATTCATAATATATGACTCTAATAGTATATAACATAAAGCAAGTTCATATTCCTCTGAATATATTTGTGAAGTTTATAGAATTTTTTAAAGAAAGAAATTTATTTAAATCATGTAGCATGCCAACCTCAAATATAAACTCCACCCCGCTCCGAATCATGTTTGAATCCAGCATTTTAAGAAAAAAAAATGATGTATTTCTGTTAAACCTATTTAACCACCACTATCTAATTCCCTGCATTTGGTGGATCCTTCTACTCTACCTTCCTTTTTTCCACAAAACAATAGCTCTTTTTGTTGTAGATGATCTACTAATGAAACATGAGACCTTTTGTGTGCTTTCTTAAGGATGAGACGCGATGACAAAGATTACCCTGTGTGGCAGCTGGTGACTTTATTGGCTCAAGGGTTTCCACTCTGGCCCATTGGCATAGACAGGCACACACCTAGATTGCTCCTTCCACCCGTACCCTGGCATGGGGCTGTGCAGAGCCTACATTCTATCCTGTGCCTCGTCAGCGTTCTACTGACTCATCTAGAGCCTTTTCTACTTCTGGCTATCTTGAAGGAGGATGCTGACTGCAAAGTCCTTCTCTGCACCTGCACCTGTTCCTCGTTACCCACATCTGGGGCATCTGCCCACACGTGTTACTGCTGAGTCAAGCGCAGCCATTTTCAACAGTAACTACCATTCATAAACCATCCTTCGCAATTACCAAGTGGGTGATACAGCTCTGCCTCCAATTCATCTTCCTGTATCCTTTCCTCAGCATTACGAATCTGTGAGGTGAACACCTACCTTAGTCTCCATTTTTTTGAAAGACCAAACTAAGACATAAAATGATTAAATAAAGTCCAACGACGACCAGGGAAAAGAATTCATGGCAGGATTTGAACTTTGGACGCTTCATTATGCTATTTGTTGTATCTCCTCCATGTTCATTTTACCAGATGTGATCAAATCTGATTTCAATGCCTTTTCCCCCTCTCCCCAGTCTGGCATGTATAAATGGCATTTCATTATTATTATAATTATATATTACATGCTGCATTATAAATATATGCATCATTCCTATATTTTCTGTAGTATACCTATATGCAAATGTCTGTATGGCTGTCGGTTATTACATTATTGTTTTTGAGGCAAGACCATGTCTAGTTGGAAGTTGGGGGAGAGTTTCTATCTGTGCTCAGATCGTTCTTATGCTCCATCACAGCTTTAGCACACAGTGAGCTGCTCCAGCAGAGCTTTAGCACACAGCGAGCCGCTCCTGTCAGTCGGGACGCACCTCCACTTGCACCATCAGACATCTCTGCCGCCTCAGCTTGACCACATAACCGTACACGTCCACTTTGCCCTCCGCCTCCAAGCCTTCCAGCATGGCATCAATCCCAATGTAGGTGCCTGTGCGTCCGACGCCCGCACTGGGAAAACACACACAAACGTGGAGGCAAGAGAAGGAATGAAAGGAAGCAGAGATGGGAATAGTATGTTTCTTTCTGGGCACCAGGGGCACACCTGTAATCTCACCTGCACATGGGAGGCATGGGTAGGATGAATTTGGTTCAAGGCCTGCCTAGGGCCTAAAAGTGAGACCCTATGTGCAAGCTGACCCCCGAAAAGATAAAAGGATCTGGAGGGTTTATGTGGCAGAGCTCCTGCTCAGCCTAGCTGAGTCTCCTTGAGCTCAAATCCCAGTGCCACCAAGAAAAAAGGAATGTAAGTCATACACCATGACTGTACTCAATTACAAACTGTTAGCTTATAAGAAATGGCTTGAGTGAGGAGTATGTGTCTCCTATCATCTCGTTTCCCAGTAGAGGAACTGCCAAAAGGAAGGTGTGCAGATAGGACAGGGGGCAGAGTGTGCACCAGGCGAGGACGGGCCAGAGGTGAGGACGGGGTAGAGTGGGGGTCAGGAGCTGAGGACGGGGTAGAGTGGGATCAGGAGGCGTGGTGGGGGTAGAGTGGGGGTCAGGAGGTGAGGACGGGGGTAGAGTGGATCAGGAGGTGAGGACGGGGTAGAGTGGGGGTCAGGAGGCGTGGTGGGGGTAGAATGGGGATCAGGAGGTGAGGACGGGGGTAGAGTGGATCAGGAGGCGTGGTGGGGGTAGAGTGGGGTCAGGAGCTGAGGACGGGGTAGAGTGGGGGTCAGGAGGTGTGGTGGGGGTAGAGTGGGGTCAGGAGGTGAGGACGGGTAGAGTGGGGTCAGGAGGCGTGGTGGGGGTAGAGTGGGGTCAGGAGGTGAGGTGGGGGTAGAGTGGGGTCAGGAGGTGAGGACGGGGTAGAGTGGGGGTCAGGAGGCGAGGACAGGGTATAGTGGGGATCAGGAGGCGTGGTGGGGGTAGAATGGGGATCAGGAGGTGAGGACGGGGTAGAGTGGGGTCAGGAGGTGAGGACGGGGTAGAGTGGGGGTCAGGAGGTGAGGACGGGGTAGAGTGAGGGTCAGGAGGTGAGGACGGGGTAGAGTGGGGGT